ACTGCACTCTTAAGGCAGATTTCCTATGAATTTTAACATACTTTTGCAAAATTATTAGAAAAAAAGCCTAGAATTATATAACCCTTGAGCGGAACATGAAAATCTTTTTGTTCTATTTGAAGAATTTAAGCTAAACATGAGACAGAACTTTAAAGAAATATATTTACCTGTTATTCATGCTTGTTAAACTTCCTTTCCAGTTTTCCCCTGGAATACTATTAAAATGGATAAAAATTAGAATCCATTTACAATAATTTAAACACATGGAAAAGAAGCATTTCCTGCTATTAGATCCAAATGAAAGCATCAATAATGAACTGGATTTATATTTAAACACAAGCTTTTTCTTAACATATAACAGGCTACATCAGTCATATATAGAATTAAAGTGTAATTGCAAATCTATGCAGTTACATACACCTAAACCCCATTATTTAAGAGTATACCGGTATTACTTCCAATCTAGCTGACAGGGTTTTGTTAGGAGCTAACAATTCACAAGCAGGGACACAGAGAATATAAACTAGCAATTCTTATAAGCAAGTGTAGGAAAATCAGTTGATCTGAATCCGAAGAAAATAAAGGCTTAGAATCTGCATGGATCAGGGACTGTTACTTCCTGAATTACAATAAAGGAAGTGTTCTAATTGTATTGATTCTCTGGAAGTTGCAGGAAGTTTCTGTCTGCTTTGACGGAGCTTGGCAATAACTATTCAATTAAAATTAAATATAAAATATTGCAGCATTTCCCTGTTTCAGTAATCATTTAATATATACTAGCGCCTCGGTGGCCCAGTGGTTAGAGTGCTGTACTGCAGGCCACTTCTGCTGACTATTGGCTGCCTGCAATTTGGCAGTTCAAATCCCACCAGGCTCATGGGTGACTCAATCTTCCATCCTTTCGAGGTGGGTAAAATGAGGACCCAGATTGTTGGGGACAATATGCTGACTCTGTAAACCGCTTAGAGAGGGCACTATAAAGTGGTATATATGACTAAGTGCTATTGTTATATACTACGTTCAAAGAAAATGTTGCATTACAACTTATACTTCCCTATTCAATTTTTTGTAAATGTGTTAAGTTTCTTTAAAAATAGCAGCTTCGACAATGACATTTTTTGATGTGGAAATTCAATAGTAAGACTGCTTAATTATCTCATTGACTAGATTTACATATCACACTATACTATAAGCAATCTACCATATAAGCCATAATATGATTTTCCTATTTGTAGTTAAGTTCCATTTATAAACGAAGATTTATAAAATGATTTACGACTGAGTAAGCTGAACAAACAAGAAAATTGTTGCTTAATGAATATTCCATGGCTAAGCAACTGAAACTCAGTCTGATGTATAAACCCAACCATTGGCTTAAGAGATAATAAACTTCTAAGCAAAATAACAGCATATTCGTAGGATGAGGAGTTTGCATATCATGTAGAGCAAAGGTGTCAAACTCAATCGTGTCATGTGATGTATCACAATGCTGTTTGCCTTTGCAGAGCCTGAGCATGAAGCATCTGACCTGTGGTCGCCAGTTTGATGGGCCTGATGTAGAGCATCATCTGGCTTTGAGTTTTTTACTTATATGTACACAATAGCTGAAGTTTGTAAATAACAATTAATTGCTGTTCATATGAATTAGGTATTACTCATTAAACCAATCTTGAATATATAACACAGGTGGCTTATAGCAATGTGTGCAAACTTCCCATATATTTGATAGTTACATATGTTTCTCATCAACTTTTACAACATAAGCAGATTATTTACTAATCAGTATTTAAAGTGAGAATAATTTTATGCAACTTTCATCTAAAATATGAAGAACAACTAATACTGGACAAGCTTTATTTACCTTTCAAACCACTGCTTTATGCTCAGCATGAGAGATTCGTCAGGATAAATTTGATGATTTCTTAAGTAGTAGAGGATATCAGTACATTTGTTTTTCAAATGGTCATCCTTCACAGGCTGGCAAAAGTCGAAGAAAAGCTTTATTGTTGTCAAAGGAGGAGTCAGATTTTCAGCTACCATCTCATGAAACAACTCAAATGCAAGGTTTCTTTCTTGGTTGAGTAGCGCACCTTCAATGCAGTCTCCATAATTTTGTTTTGAATGGAATGAGACTTTTTTTACTTTTTCCAGTAGTACCAAGGTCTCTTTCCAGTGTGGGGAATCACTCAAGCCTTTGATGAGCAAAGAATAAGCTGATGCTTCTAAAGATTTATATTTGGCTTTCATAATATTATAGATGTCATAAATCTCTTCTATGTCCTTATGAAAAACACATATAGCCAAGTACATCACCAAATAATTATATTCAATGTCTCCATCACGTTTAGCCATTGCAACCAGCAAGGATTTAGCCACATCTACTGGGCTATGATTAGCTATCATGCTCTCAAACATAACATTTTCAAAATTTTTAAAGTGTTGATATTCTTCTTTTAATTTCTCCCATTCCTTGGCACTCAAAGGTGTATCCGGAGGAGAGACTATGTTCAAAGGACTAGAAGAATCATTTGCAACTGCATTATTTGTATTGCATATTGCCCTCATCTTGGATGATCCAGCAGCAAATGCACTGAAAGGCTTTGGGGAAAATCTATTTTTACCAGTTTTTTTCTTCATCATACTGCTATCTTTTATTTTCATTTCTGGATAAAATGTTTTAGAATCTATCGACTCTGCCCATCTACACAGGGTAGTAGAAGTAAAACGCCTATACACAGCTGTGAAGTTTTGCTTTGTTGACACAGGGAGGAATGTTAAGGTCTGCAAAACCCAATTTCTTATTGGGAGGAAAAAACCCATAATACTGAATAATTAAAACTGAACTTTTTTTTTAAAAAAAAGAACCAGTTTGTAATAAATATATGAAAAATAAGGAAACTGACAGATTGTCTGAAAATCTGGAATCATAAATGATTGATGTTACTAATACATTTATCTCATTAAACCAAATCCATGCTTATCATCCTCAGAAGAAAATCAACTAGAAGGCCAATTCGAAATGAGAACTACTTTTCCTTCATTTGTTAAAATGCTTGACAAAAGCATATTTCTGAAGTTCCTTCATTCGTGGTACCTGCACACAAGAAAGTCAAGCAAAACGATGTGAGATTTTCATTCAGGTCAGGCTGCATGAAAACAGATCATATTTCCTTAAACTGACAAAGATAAACTATAAACTGGACTAAGTAAGAATGGTGATATCTCATTTACCCAATCAGACTCAGTTTTCAGTACTTATAACCATCTTATAGACAACTAACTCTGTAACTAGCCCTAAAATTGAAACTTGCAGGGATGCCATGGATCAAGAATCTGATTTTGCTTATAGAACCTGTTACTTAAATAGGTATATTCAACAGCATAAGGCTGCCCAGCAAAGGTATAAAAGAAACAATCCAGGTGGCTGTATTGTCTGTTCCAACCACCTTTTTTTTAAAGTTAGCATTAGAATAATTAAGTATCTTTATTGTAGTCAGAGACCAGTATTATTTTGTATTGGTCTTTAACTACAATAAAGACACTTATTTATTAACTTAATAGTTTAAAATCGGTCAAATACATATGCATACATATGACATAGCAGAATTTAACTACACTTAGGCTAACAGAGTCATGGATAACTGAGAGTAAAATAAGTAAAATTAATCAGAATGACCAGGGATTTATGTTGTGGGCCAGCATAAAATGGGCAGTGCTGTATAAATTAACTATTTATATAATGTATATAAATCTATGTGTAATAAAATACATTTAACAGTTTTAATAGCCTGTTCACCACACTAGCAAAACCTTAATCCAAACTGGATGCCTTTATTACTCCCTTCTAAAACTGCAAGGCATCAAAGAATGCCCTCCTAAACAAAGGGACTGTAAGTTGCTTTAGGCAGTTAGATGGTCAGGAACATATCCTAAAGAGACATGAGATGTAATGGGACATTAATATTTTTAATCTGCTGCCTGAGGGCCACACAAGATGAACTTCAGTTGCTTATTGAAAAAGGTAAAGCAGATTTGACCATCATGCCTTAAAATTAAACTGATTTCCATTGGGGTGTTGTTGTTTTTAGCAGACTTTCTTTCTTCTGAAACTCTTTACTCTGAGATCTATAATAGAAGACCTGGTGGCTAAACTGCTCAACCATTAACTCTACTTGTTCCGAGTCTTGATTTCAAAAGTCTGAAGGACACAATGGGGTTCCACACATTATAATGGTTAAATGGTGATGTACCTGTAGTCTCCCTTTCCTTTCTCCCCTCAACCCTACAGATTTGAGCTCTACATTAGTTCAGTCACTCCACACATCTGTTAGCTGCAGCTCGCTAAAGCTTACGCATTATAATCCCGTTAATTAATCTTAAAAAGATGCTAGATAGATCAGATTTCGGGCTAGCATAGAGTAAGTTGGCTCTCTTCCTACAACGTCCCTTCTTAAATAAATAATCTACCTCAGGGGTCTCCAACCTTGGCAACTTTTAAGACTTGTGGACTTCAACTCCCAGAATTCCACAAGTTGGAATCCACAAGTCTTAAAAGTTGCCAAGGTTGGAGAGCCCGATCTACCTTGTAAGCTTGCTTGCCATATTTGGCAGACCCCGGGAGCTCCCAGAACAGACAGTTCAGCCCAAATTACCAAAGGCATCGGTTCAACTCTTGCCATCTAAAGCTCTCGAGAGGCACCGCATGCTATACGAAGCGTAGTTTATATTAAAGCGTCTTACACAGGCAGGTTAAAACAGGACCAACTTAGTCCGGGCGATGAAGACGATCAGGTCAAAAAAGCCGCAGCTACCTTAATATACGGGAACCACGCGCATTACTTTTTCCGGAAATTTCCTCCTCCAATCGAAGCCCTCTCCTCTGATTGGCAGATTGACGCACGTGATGACTATGCAGGCGATGGGGAGAGATCCAATAGCCGGCAAGCAGCAGCCATCTTGATTAAGCCCCTTTCCCCCCTACTTTCCGGTTTCTCCCTGTACGTTATACAGTAGTTCCTTTTTTTCTTTTGCTTATCTTTACACTGGAGGGAGGAGAAGGAGGAGGAATTATATTTCCCCGGATGTTGCCGTTAGAGACGACGGTTAGGGCTGGGGGGAGGCGTCGTACTTGACTGAGGCGGGAACATCACAGACGATGGACTGGAAGCAGGCGCTGAAAAGCCGGCTGGGCGTCAGTACCGACCGTGAGTCGAAGAGGGACCTTTTTTTTTTTTTAATTATCCCGGTGGCGCGTGACTGGGGAGTGTCTGTTAAACGGGGAGGGGCTGAACGAAGACCTGCCAGCCTTGCGCTCCTCTAGCTTTGCCTTGAGGTAAAGTGCTACCCGCGTTGTCTCGGAATCTGAGGGAGAATAGAAAGGCTTTTTGTAGCCTTATGCGGGTTTTTGGTTTTTTTTTTGGCTCCGTGATTCACAGCAGCATCATACTATCCTATTGTGAATAAGATTTAGTTTACTTCACTGGCCTCTGTCTGCCCTAGTAAGGACAAGATAGATAGAAAGCCCCCTGTGAGGTAGGCGATTAGGTTGAGCTGTAATGGTCCTGTCATAGCAATAGCATGACATATAATATGAGAGGGCTGTAAAGCCAAGAGAGGGCTGTAAAGTACTGTGAAGTGGTATATAAGTCATATATATATATACAGATGAACACTATACAGAATCTTGATGATGCCAGATGAGATTCTGCAGAAACGTTGCTACAACTTTAAAAGCACAACTACAATGACGTGGGAAAATACCCGAACAAAGCTGAATGCCATACATGTAAGTACCGGCGAAAACTTAAGAAAACATTATATAGATAGATAGATGATAGATAGATAGATAGATAGA